CACTCCAACTCTAATGCCCTGACATCAGATATATAGAATACCAGTTCCATCGCCACTAGACACTACACAATCAGCATAATCATTACCCTCAATTCCCATGTGACTGGGTACCCATAAAAACCTTACGTCGAAACCAAAATTCCCTAAATCAAATAGCTTTTCCCTAATCTTATATATCAGAGGACTAGTCCTACTGTCAGGGAACGATTGTACAGACCGTAAAACCGACATGCTGTCGGATATAACGACAAACCTCCCAGACCCTTGCAGCTCTACTAGGCACAATGCCTCGTAGATAGCCACAGCTTCCGCTATAAACACCGATTGAATTGGGTTAGAAACAAAACATGTCTCAATGTTCTGATCTGGGAACCATTGACCACAAATCCGGGAGCATTTGATCCGTCGGTATATATCCTACCATATGAAGCAAGTTTAACAATGCGTAGTGTTCGAACAGTAATTTCACCGCCATATGTGTTGCCTTGGCCTTTCCAATTGGAAGATATTCCACAGTGGGCTTTAGCCAAAGTGATTTGAGGGGCACAGAATACATTGAGTGAACACTAGTGTCAAACATATCATGAGAACAATACTTGTTAAGAAATTTTGTGACGTATGAGGACCTGATGTTGTTATTCGACAGTTGAATGATAAATTGGCGAGCAGGGTGGAGCCTATTCGATACGAACCTGTTGATCGTTCCGTCAGCCATAAATTCAAGTCGCTGAGGTAGCGACATTACATTGGCCATCTGCTCCAGAGCCAGGGTATGGGTTGAGTTCATTGCTCCTAAAGCAATTCTCAGGCACTTCCACTGGACCCTCTCAAGTCTTAACATATAAGACGCTAGACAGTCAAGAAGAAGCACCGCCATGTGCTCCAAGATTGGTCGAACTGCACCCAGATAAAGTCTTATCATACAACTGGGTCGGACCCCCCAGAAACCCCGCAGAGTGATCGCAATGCATTGACGGAGCCAAACGTCCGTTATACCACGGACGTGGATCCTCAATGAAAGTTTGGGGTGGAATACAAAGCCCAGAAAGTTGAAGGAATTCACAAAGTCAACGGGCCTGTCATTCACCCGGATTCACAAAGTCAACGGGCCTGTCATTCACCCGTATTGGGGTGATACCATGTATCCCTCTCCTGCGAGTAAAAATCATAGCCTTCATCTTCGTCTCCGACAGGGACAACTCCAATTGGAGCAGTTTCGCGGAGAATTGACATACCCTACGTGAAAGCTAAACAGCTGATTACAGACAAACTGCATACGATCGCTAATAGAAGATGAAGAATAGGCTTGCCAGATTTGAAATCAACAAAAAACGAACATCGCAGTTAAAAAAGCAGTACAATTGAATAAAAAAAAGTACAATTGTTTATGAAAAAAATCAATTAAATTGTTCTAAAAACGCTAGATTGACATTGGTTGTTATGATTTTTCACAACAAAGTCATTTAAAAACTAATTTCTGGCAAAAATGTACCAAAATTTTTTATTGTGCTATTAATTTATATTTTTTCCTTTAGAAAATGTCAAATTCACCAAATTTTTGTTTCGTTTGTTTACATTTTTAAATACATTTCAACCATTTATTGTGAACAAATGTTTGATATCTTTCTAAAGAAAAAATATCCAGTAAAATTAACAATTCTCTAACTCTGTTAGAAAACAGTTAAAATTTCTTCTCTGTTATTCGAATTTGTGTTTTAAATCTATTATTATTATTTAAATAATTTTTTATTTATTATTTAAAACATATCGAGGGACTATATTCAATAGTCTCTATCTGTCATTTTTATGAACATAAGATTTTGATGGCAAAATTTCCAGCAAACTATCCCGCATCAGTGACATAAATTTCAAAAGAAAAAATATTTTTTGGAAATTTTATAGCAATTTTTAAATTTCTCTATCTTATAAAAAGAAAAATTCGGAATGCAAAACTCTCTATCTTATCCAAAAATTGCAAAACAAGTGTTTTTACTAATTTGGATATGCTGAACACAAATCCGCAATATATAATATTTGAAATCGGTTTAATAATTTTCAAGATATCGCTCATTTTATTGCCGGGTTTAACCATATAACATTGACCAAAACCTTATAATCTGTAGCTTTTTCAACAATTTTGTTTATATAACTTCATTAAATTACATAAAATAAAATATTTATTGATATTAAATCAAATAAAAAATTTATATTTCTGTGAAAAACTCTCTATCTGAAGGTTGTAAAGAAAATTTTTCGTAGAAAAAAAGCTCTATCTGATTGTTGTGAATAATTCTGCAAATAATGCAAAATTTTAAATTCTTTTTATATAACGATTTAGAATATGGGTTTAAAAATATATTGTAAAAGAAAAATCTCAAAATTTTTCACGAACTAGCTAAATAAACAGTTTTTTTGCTCTCCTGAAAACTTTTGTATTTTAAATAGATAGTATTGAATATAGATCCTCGATATCAATTATTACTTTCTTCATTTTTTTTAATTACAGCCAAAAATCAACGGAAGTTTACTTTTGCGCCACCTGTTATATTATTTATAACCCCGTTTTTCTAAATTCGCCGACGACACTACCTTCAGGTGGAAGTACACAACACGCGATGAGGTTTTACGCTTTTCAAACTTTTCGCATCATTTTGATATTATTTTATTGTTTTTTAGGACAATTACTGTTTTAAAGATTAATATTTTAAGTTTATTCTTATTCTACACAAAATAAAATACAACCCTGATCAGCTGCAAACGCTTCAAATGTTGAAAGTTGCTGAACTTTTCACGGCAGACGCGTTACAAACTACAGTGTGTAACTTATTTATTGAAAATACACTATTTCAATTTCTATAACGTGTTGTCGCTTACAACGCGTGCTGTGTACTTCAACCTTTATAATTAACATATATTGACACCTACCTGAACTAGGGTTCTATAGTTGAAACGAAAAGTCGACTTTTCGACTTTTTTCATTTAGTAAAAAGTCTACTTTTCGACTCTTTGCATTTTATGAAGAGTCGACTTTTTGACTCTTTTCATTTAATTAAAAGTCGACTTTTAGACTTTTCGACTATAAGTATTTTATAAATAGTCGACTTTTTGACTCTTTTCGACTTTTTTCAACTTTTCGACATTTTCCGACTTTTTTCGACTTTCCGACTTTTCGATTTTTTTCGACTTTTTGACTATTTTCGACTTCTTTCGAATTTTTTCGACTTTTTTTTTACTTTTTTCGGGGTTTTCCGACTATTTTTGAGTTTTTGACTTTTTTCCACTTTTTTAAAATTTTCGACTATTTTTGACTTTTTTCTACAATTTTGGAGTTTTCGACTTTTCGACTTTTTCCGACTTTTCTCAACTTTTTGACTTTTTACGACTTTTTGACTTTTTTCGACTTTCTTCGACTTTTTTCGACTTTATTCGACTTTTCGACTTTTATTAAAAAAGTCGACTTTTCGACTTTTTTCACAGACGATAGTCGAGTTATCGACTTTTCGACTTTTTTCGACAAAAAGTAGATTGTTCGATTATTCGAAAGTCGATTTATAGAACCCTAACCTGAACCAAATGCAAAAACAAAATACATGGAAAATATTGTTGCCGAACTGCCACCACCTTGTGTGAATTCGTCTTGAGTATAATTATCAGCTGATTAAATATCACCACCTTATGTGAATTCGCCTTGCGTACAGAAATTCAAGCCGAGACGGCTTAAATAAGTTTCCCAAAAAAAGTTTGCCTGTGTGAACCGGCACCTTGTATCTCTGCTTGCGTATGGCTGTCTAACTCCATATAAAACATATGCTTTCTTAAACAATCATTTACTTTGTTAACCCATGTCTAGATTAGATAAATTTTTATTATGCTAATAGTTAAATTATTATCTTGATAAAAAAAATTAGTAGGTACAGACAGCATTTATTAGCTTTATAGCAGCATTATAACAAAGGTCAGAATAATTGTTTAGACAACATTATCTTGATAACAAATGTGATTTTATTGTAAAATTTGTATATTATTTTGTTTTTCTGTAATTAAATTAATTTTTTTACATAAGTTTTAGAGAAACTACTATTTATTTAAAAAATTTACAGTTAATTTTGATTGTTTTTATAAAATATAATATTATTTCACTAAAATTATCTATGAGTTGTCGTGATAAAATCAGCATTTTCCCCTATGCATTAACATAAACAAAAAATTGCCAATTGCTTTGTTGACGTATTTTTAAGTGCTGTGATAAATATGTCTAATATAGAGACAGCGTAATAAGTATTTGTCAAGTATAGACGGGAATAATAGGTAGTCACAACAAAGAAAAATTGGAGCATATTTTATTAGGATTCTATAAATCGACTTTTTGTCGGAAAAAGTCGGAAAGTTGAAGTCGATTTCTTTGTCCTCTCAGAGTCGACTATCTTATAAGAAAAAATTCGAAGTTTAAATTAAGTTAAATTTTACAATTGTTATATTTCGTTGTTGACTTTTTGTGTAACGATATACGTTTTGGTTGTGAAATTACATTCAAATATTTATTTACCTTCGGAAAAAATCGAAATATCAAAAAAAAAATCGAAAAGTTGGGATAAGTTCGAATAGTCGGCTATTCATAAATCACAAAATTCAAAAGTAGAAAAGTTGACTTTCATAAAACGAAAAAAGTCGAAAAGTCCTACAAAGATATCGATATAAAAAAAGATCGAAAAGTCGACAATATAAATATTTTATTGTCGGTGTGAGTCGTTTATTGAATTATTTTCCAATTTTCTAACAAAAAAAGTTGAAGAAGTTTCCCATCCTTGGCTAGAATACATTTGGTTAAAGATGGCGAATAATGCAAGATTATGGCAACTCCTAAACATATGAAATATCTACAGAAACAACAGGGTATTTGTTTTTGTTAAAGTTATTTAATCTGTCAAAGTCTGCTTTTTGTTTTTGGATATGTTTATTTTTTGCAGGCACAAATACTATTGAACTTGACAACTTAATCAACCAAATAAGTCTAAATAGCTACCACCTAGTAGATATGGGACTTCGTCAAAAAAAATAGTTCTTCTTCTTGGATTGAGCAGCGTGCATAATTTTAATAAACTTGTTATTTATTTGTTTACATTAAATAATATTGTTCGCGAAAATTTTTGCAATGATCGAATATTTATACAGGCAAATTTTAATTTAAGTAAACTTCGTACAGAAAATATGGAATAACAATTGATATTTATTTTTACAAAAAATAGAAGCATTTATAATTTAGAACTTGTAACATTTGCGACTTAACCGTATTTAAACATTTTTCTTTGAAATATATAAAACGAAGAGAAGAATTGTTTGAGTTGGTCGTACAATTTCAAATGACATTGGAGCTTTTAAGGAGTTCATTAAATCAGGCGATGTTTTTCCTATGCATATAAATCTGAGCGAGCGTGTGGAATTGTTTATTTTTTACGTAATACGTAATACAAGACGCCAGAAAGTTCCCTTCTAACTACATTAGGAGGGGGTAGAAATTAAAGGTGCGTATTTACGAATTACTTTTTAATATACATATGTATTCATATTTATGTACATGCACGTATGTATTATACATAGTATATAATTGTATGTGTATCGCGTTCTTTGGAATACTAGTGTATGTAGTTTTAATTTAATCTTTACTACACTTCCACCTGTTATTTGATACACAATCAATTAATTCATTTTTTATTTAATTATTAATGATATTCGATTTATAATAATGCATGTCATTTTATTTTTCAATTCATTACAGCTGTAACTATTAAAATTCACTATTAGAGTTTGATATTTTGATGTCAGATCATCATTAATCTTGTAATGAATTAATTTGCTTCAATTCATTTACTAATTTTGGAATTATAGTGAAATTGTTATTTAAAAGGACAGTAAGCTAACAACATAATTATCACATTTCTGCAACCTTTGTTTAAAATATATTCGAAATATATGGCTTCTAATGCTAAAGCTGGAGAGATTGTCCTTGTAATCGCCGTGTCCATATTTTTGTATTATTTTTTCTGGGTGTCAATTCTGCCCTTCATGCTTATAGACGAAGGTGAGTACTATTTATACATACAAACATATTTGATTGTCGCTTATTTACTTAAATAATATTTTTTAAGCATAAGTATTTATAATCAGCTTCCAAGAATAATGGGACAAATACCTATTTGGTTAAACAAATTTTATAAATAGTCGGCTTTTCGCCATCTGTAGTTAGCGATTCTCGCACAGTTGGCCTGGACCAACAAAAGGAATTTTCTATTATATGGTGATTCAAACACCTTGTCCACTTACGATTTCGTCCGAGCGTTGTATAATTTTATCCAGTAACCCTTTTCTGCATTGCGTGATTATAATCTACTCTAACGCAGATACCTATTCCCTGAAATTTTTCTTGTACGTTTTCTCAGGTAATGTCGGTTTAAATAGCGTTTGCTCAAATAACACTTTGAATAATTCTTTTAAGTTAATTTGTATACATACTTATTGCGTTAATATACATACAGCTGTGGTCAGCTAATTAGAAACGCTCTTATTATATTACTGCTTGATGTTATTTATATAAAGTTATGAAAATATTGCGTTAGATTTTCAGTTCCAAACAATTGTATTATATTATTTACTATTGTTATAATGAAATGGAATGCATTGTTTTGAAACATTTCTTATTTTCTTTTCAATTTTGAATTTGGTGAAAATCGCTAAAAGATAAAGGATATAGGAGAGCAGCTAAATTGTTCAAAAAAAGATATTTTTAATCCTTTATATCATATAAAGAAATATGAAGTTGATATTAACGTTCCTTCAATTCAATACTTAAAATTTTGTTAAAGTGGATAAGGGATATATCCATAAGCACGTCCTTGTTTATCTTAAATAATTCAAGGACAAAAAAATACATATCCATAAAATTTACCATAGTTTTGAGTAATAGATCTAGACAATGTGTGATTGCTATAATTATTTGACTTGTAGAAAAAGTAGTTGAACATTATGATAGTTTTTACATAGGTATGTAAATAATAAATAAAATTACTAAGTCGAGCTTTTACACTAAATATGTTGGCGAAAGACATAGATTTTTCAAGTTATCTTTTCAGGAATGGATGTAAATAAATCTGTTTAACACTATTATATTAAAAACCGCGTGTTTTTCAGAATGGTCTTTACGCCCTTATTCGCATACATGTTTCAAATGTGTAAAATTCTTTTAGTGTTAGTTTGTAATCAAATTGCCTGAAAATATATATATACATATATGTATTATCGCATTTTTGGTAATCACTATCATTACATGTATTCATAATTCTAATCTCAAAGTTTTTTTTTTTTGTCGCTCATTTGCGACAAGATTGTAAGAAATTAATTTAACATCTAGTTTAAATATTCAAATCCCCTGATTTATTTAAAAGATATTAAACAAATAATTAAATGTCTTTAAACATTCTAAGTCATTTATCTCAAAACGACTTTTTTGGATTATTTCAGTTTTGTAGTAAATGAGTGATATGTTTATAAAAATGAAATCTGATATAATGTTTCTACGACAAACTTTAACTATAATACTACTTTAAAAATATGCGAAAAAGATAGATTTTTACAGTAAAAAAATCACTAACACCGACAATCATAGACATTTATAAAAATATATGTATAAAACTACATGAATGAATTTAAAACGGTCCATATTTTGTATTACTCAGTTCGAAAATCCGAGTATTTAGTTATACCAGTCTTGAAGTAAATTATCGTTTTGTAAATACTATTAAGAGAGTAAAACATATTTGTTGTTAATCAAAAACGATCTTAACCGATTACAGTGAGAATATTTTTTCATTGAAAATAACATTTGACCTGCTAAAAAGTACATTTTGTTTATTGTTTCACATACATATAAATAAATTAGTCGTTTGATTCCAACAAACTAAACCTCAGCAATAAAAATTAAAAACTTTTATTTGATAATTTAAATCATAATTTCACTCAAAGTGGGAACAATCTAGCTGATATTGTTTGTGAGCTTTGATAATAATTTAACTAATGCATGTGTTTTTTTTTTTATTCCGATTTTAATAGGCAACTTGATACATTCGTTCTTTCCTCCATTGGAGTACGCTTTTATATTGCCTGCTGTATTTGGTGTAATATTTCTGGGTGGTATTGTTGTCTTTACCCTCTATCATATATGGGATTTTATTAAGACGAAAAACGCAAATTGAATAGTCTGAAGAACGTAGACAGAAGGAACAAAAGATTTTTATACATACCTTAAAAAAGAAACAAACACGTAATATAAGTGTCTCACAAACAACAGACATTGTGTGCTCAAATAAATACGTTAAACTCATATACTTATTACTGTATAACGAAGAAAGTATAAATATACAAAACTATGCCTCAGTGGCTGGTGATTGGTATTTCGGGTGTCACCTGTGGTGGCAAAACTACATTGGCACACAAGTTACGCGATTATTTTATGAACCAGCGTAACATTCAATTGTGGAATACGCCATATACTATCCATGATGTTCAGTTAATATCTCAAGATGATTACTTTCTTCCCGTTGATGATTTGCGACACAAATGGGTCGAACCACTGAATGCTATAAATTTTGAACTCATTACGTCATTGGATATGAAGCAAATGATTTCTGATATTACATGGACAATGAAGGGTCGTTACTTGGCCAGTGATCCTCTTGAAAATGTTGATTTCTCCAACGAGATGGCGCCATACAGTGGTACATTTGAACACTTTACAGGTTCGCAAAATCAACATTATGGAAACCCATATGTTGGAGCACACCTTCCCACACACCTCAGCAATATGCCACATTTGTCAACTAAACCCCAACATAATAAACATCATCTTCAACAACACCAGCAGCAACATCAACAGCATTACCACAACCACCATCATCAGCATCAACACCAACATCATCACAACAACATGAGCAACCAGAGTCATCAGCACACAGCTCATATTATGCGTGTCAATTCGCAAATGGTTGCCCAATTGCGCGACAACAAAGTCAACATTCTAATTATTGAGGGCTTTATGATTTTCAATCAGCCCGAGTTACTCACTTTGTGTAACATTAAATTCCACTTTCATCTGCCATATGAGAAATGTTTCGAGCGTCGACGCAAGCGTACCTATGATCCTCCAGATGTCACTGGCTATTTCGAGATGTGCGTATGGCCGCACTATGAAAAGAACTTTATGGATTTTCGCGATCGCAAAGATATCACGTTTTTGAATGGTGAAATAAGTAAAGAAAAGATTTTCAAATTTGTTCTACAGCGTATTGTTCAATATTTTGAAGAACGTTGCGATGTGGCCTGTCCGCCGCCCCACAAACTTTTAGGAATTCCAAGTTGCAGCAATGGCAACATTAATACCAGTCCAAAGATGCAAACATGTCCCATGGAACAACAATAAGATAGCCGTTTAAGATTTGTTCGTTACGTCATTCGTTCATACGTTTCGAAGGGAGGCTTAATTTCGAATATACCTCGTCCACAATGCGGTATCAGAAAATCTATTTTATTTAATTTAATTTGATGATGTAATTACATATTATAAATATCGTTAGTAACTTTTTCTTTAAGCAAATGCACATACATACATGTAATATGTAAATATGTATAGTTTCTCTACTAATTTATTTATATAGATTTAAATGTATATACACATATAATATGTACTACACAATTACTGAAAATAAACTTTAATTGGAAATGTTTATGTTATAATTTATAAGTTGAAATCGAATATTCGAATTTTAATTTTAATTTAACTGTGAATAAGTGGTTTTTTGAATAAAAAGTAAAATATGTATATGAAATATTTATTAACTTGTAAGAATTGTAATGTGAATAAATAAAAGGAAATGCATATAAAATTGAAAAATTATGTATCATTTTTTCATTAGATATCGTAGATAAACTAATTTAAGCAATCTGAAAAATTAAAAAATTACAGTTTGCAATTATGATCTTGACTATCAAGTTAAACTGATTCTCACATAACCGGAATATGTTACGTTTGCGTTATCGAATGTTTTGTTGGCAGAAATATGAAACAGCTATCTAAGCTTTATAGAACATAAACAAGTCTTTGGAGTACATTATTGCCTTTTTAGAAATTTCACATTTTTTCAATGAACTCAATTAATATAAAGCTATTTCTGTGCAGTTCGAATTCCATCACATACCGGATTCTGTTATCAAGTTTTCGTTTTTAATTGTTAAATGAATACAAAATAGATTGTTTGTTTCCGTGGCCCGATATTTTTATTTATTTAGGATTCATGGTTTATAATTGAGCCTCTCAGTTTGGCCATATATGATTGCTTAGACTAACAATCTTATAAAACAATGTTAACGATCTTATTTTTGCATAATCAGGAAAATTGCAATCGAGAAATATATTTCCGCGAAATGATGTATGATCGTGAACATGTAATTTATATAGATACATGTATCTTATTATTCGGCGAGTTGCTCTTTTCAGTTCGCCTACCAAACATCCTTCAATAAACAAAATATGTGGCATTATAATATTGTGGTTCCTAATATATCTCTTACATTTACTGACCTGATGACAATACAATCACCCATATTCTGCTTTTCCGTATTCATTTACGCTACGACCGAAAAAAAAGTATTCCAACAAATAACGAAACCGTTAGAAAAATACGCTTTATTACATTTTATTTCCATGCTATACGGCGGAGTAAGAATAGAAATACAGAATACCAAAGATGCCACTCGGAGAAAATTTCGATTCGAATTAAAAGGCAGAATAGGGGTAATCATGTTCGAATATTGGAAATTAACTTCTAAAATTTTAAGAAATGTAAAAAAACGTCCAGCTCACGAAAGGACTACAAACTACTGTGCGCCATCCCCGACTACAACTTTTTATTGATTTTTTCTAAAAGTACATATGTATATAATTTTTAAGAAAAAATCTTGATAAAATGTAAGATGTATGTAAGTAAAGATCAGAACAGTCTTCAACATTATCATTCTGGATCTCATCAAAATGTGAATTACGTAAAGGTGGTGTTGGCGTTCTTCAATTGTTCGTGCAGTGAGGTATTAAATAGTTATTTGTTGTGGAATTAATAAAAAAAAAAACATGTTTATGATCTGTTTTTGTATTAATTTATTATTACTTTATTATTTTTAAATGTTAGTATGAATATATTATTTTTAAATAACAGATTTGTGTGTGATTTTTTAGTTATTATATTTTATGCATGTGTGAGTGACTTAGTTAGAGTAATTATTATATATAAAGATTTACATTCAAAATCTAAGCATATTTGAGTTGATCTGCTTACTGTAGTGGATCAACTAATAAAAAGATATACACAAAACTTAATATCTTGTAAATGTCAAGAAAACAAAAATTCAGCAAATAACACAAATATGCAAAGATTTTTAGTGCGTCTCACGAATTAGTAAATAAATATGTATGAATATGCTATTATTTTGTTTTAATTGGTGAGCTTAATGAAGTGGCTGAATAAATATTGAGAGGCATCCTAAAATATAGGCAAATTTAAATTAATATAAACTTTTGCAATTTTTAGTTAATAATATATATTTGTTATAAACAATTGAAATGAATATCAAAATATAAACTACGACTAATGTTACTCTATATATGAAAATACTAGTATTTCAATTAAAGGCAAACGAAAATGGAAATGAAACTTATAAAATAGTTTTAAACTTTTGCGGCATTATTCATAATAATAAACAAGCTGCAAACTAACGAACTGATATTTTTCCCTTATGGAAATTTACACACATAAAAATTTAGTAGCGAGTTGTTTAGTAGTTCGTTTTTATTAATATTAAGACCTTTGATGTTTATTCTACAAATGATCACCGTCTCAAGACTTTACTGACATTTTCCAACAAACATGACATCAAATAAATTATTGAATAGAATGTATCCACTTCACATGTACTTTACTCTAGGTAGTCCTTACAGGATAATTTATTTAAAATCCAACATGTTGTGTACATAAATTTGTATGTTCCAATATATTATGTAGTTTATACCATTCAATAAAAATTAAAATAATTGGTGTTGCTCCTATTTTATTTTTGTGATAAAAAATTGCTTATAAAGTGGTTACGCTAAATTTTTCTACAGTTGATCTATTTTTAATATTTTAACTGTTTTGTGGGCCATATATAAACACGAAATATTAAGCTGCAATGATATTAAAAAAATATTAATTATTTAGCATTATTTTTTTAATTAGATTATGGGAAATATAATTATTCTTATAATGTAATCAGACATTGAAAATTACCATACAAATAAAAGTTTAATAATCAAGTTTAATTTTCTTTGATTTTTAAATTAATTTCTTTTAACTTAAAAATTTCAAAAACTGCAGTGTATTCTCAAATAATAAAAGTTGAAAAGATAGAAAAATAAATACTATAATACACAGATATTTGTATGCAGTTTATTTTTTAATGAAAGAATTCTAAAAATAGAATTAAAAATTTTCAACACTTACAATCATATTGTGTCTATTTATTTTAGAGAGCATCCCAATCGGTTTGATTGTTGTAGACTTCCTCTTCCAACCAAAGCGAATAATTTGCTTTAAAATAGTCGGTCAATTCAACCTTACGATCCCACCATCCAGAATGGCCGAAGAATGCAAAGTCTGAATGTGTTAGAATTTCATCACTTGGGAAACCACCCTCAATGCCATAATCCTGCAACTGTCCACCGACTCCTGAAGCTATACCATTGCCTGTCGCGCCCGATGTATAACCAACGCCTCCATTACCACCACCACCGTTGCCATCAACGTTTCCACTAGCAACATTGCCAGATGAAGAGTTATCTGAATTATTGGCGGAGTTTCCATTGTTACCGCCTGCTCCACACTTTTGGGTGGCTTCGGGATACCTTCTCAAATTGAATCTATCTACACATGCACGCAAAGTGCACTCTTCCGCTTGAAAGTCCCATGGACGTGATTCCAAATCATTGCCAAATGCCCAGTCATCGTTGAGGCGATGACGTACTTTCGAGTAAATAGCACTCATTGTCTTCATGTTTGATTTACGCCATTGTCGTCCCAGATATTTTGTTTGCATTTTTAATAGTTTCAAAACATATAGCTGCATCATTGCGTGTCGAACCTTAAGGGTTTTTTTTAGAATGGGCGCAGATTTGAAGACAACCAGCATCATGACACGCGAATGTTTCCACTTGATAAGTTTATTTAGAATACGCAACAGATTAATGCAAGAGAATACATTTCTCCACGAATATGGCTTGTCTGTGACATCACCACTATAAACGAAACTTTCGCCCGACAAGTCGGGTTGTTCTCCAATCACACACGATGGGAAATCCAATAATGGAATTGTGTTCTTCATGCTGACAAATTCAGTGATGTTTTGGTTAAAGAATTTCAAAACCAACGGAATACAGTTGGCGAAAACTAAATGTTGTGACATGAATTCGAACTGGTAGATGTGATTCAATTTAAAATGCTTCAAGTACAGCAATATAATGGCTGAAACAGCTTTCACAATAATCTCCTTGTGACGACCCATGTCAACTGTCAGTTTGGTGGATTGCGTGGCTGTGAGTGGCATTTTCTTAGGCAAAACATCTGCCATGATATTGATACTTTCGGTTTTTGACTTGGAAGTTGGCGAAGCAGCCAGTAAAACTTTTAGCAGTGCAATCATATATTGCGGCAAGTTCGGTAGGATTGCCTGATAGAGAACTTCTGCTGGAGTCATTTGAATTTCATCCTCTTGAGTGGATATAGGATTTCGGGCGATATCTTCCTCCTTTTTTATTTGAATATCCGCGAGACTTACGTACATGTGACGCCTTAGTGTCTCGACGCCTTCATGTATAGGCTGGGGCAGACCAGCTAAGCTTTCATGATCGTCGATCAGGGAGTAGCCAATAAACTTATTGCGTGATATATCTAAGAATTGATCAATATCCTTCTGGCGTACTTTTGGAGTCCAGGGCAAACAAGTGGTTATTTGTGGAGCTTGCACTGAAGGTTGTGCACTATAACTGGGCAAATTATTGGGATTTGCAGTTGAAATGCCAGATGAAGAAGTGGTGGAAGATGGATCTTCAAAGGGCCGATAGTAGTCATCCTCACCATTTTGGTTGCCTCCATTACCACCTCCATTGCCAGAACCATTGTTTCCTCCATTTGGAGCACTTTCATTTCCGGGTGTCATCTCCATATCCATTTGTTCCTGTTCATCCAGAAATCTTTGTTTCATTAAAGACCTTCTGAAGGCATTGCGCTTCAGGTTTTGATTGTCCAAGTAATCAGCTGCTGTGGCGGGAGGAGAACTAGCCCGCATGCATTTGGTTACTTCCAGAGTATCTTCGGTTATCGGTTCTAAGCCAGCTTTAATCCGATATTCGTTTTTGAGATTCTTTAGCACTTCCATGCCGCCTAAACCCATTAGTGATATTTTCCAAAGCAACAACACCACTTTTTTCATTGGAAAATGGGGTGCAGCCCCGCTACAGAAACGAGTAATCATTCCTAGAAGCTTTACCGAAAGCAGTTCTCCATCTGGTAAAGGACTGTTTATGTCTTGCACAAATGATTCAGCTATCTTTCGATAGTCTTCGCTATCCTTGTCTTTCTCATTACGAATTGTTTCGGTGATAGTATAAAGTACTGATAATATAACACGCAGATCTGCCGAGTCGGCAAGGGTGACATTGGTAATTTTTACAGCCACTATATCGGGTGAACAAGCACTCTCAATCTCCATATTCAGCAGATCTATGAATGATGAAAAAATTCCTAATTCATAGAGAACAATCACATTCTCTCTTGTATTCTGATGTTGTTCTTCATCCGACTGAACTTCTGCCCAACATCCTTGGGCCAAATAAAGTATACATCTCGCAGCTTGCATACGAAAAGATCGATTCGAAACCTCCAACTGGTCCATTAACTTCATTACAATACCCCTTTGGGCACTTGAGTCCAATTTCTGCCAATTGGGTGGCAAATCATACATTTCCATCTGATCTTCGAATGCCTTAACATTTTGCTGGAATTCACTGAACTCCGTATAGCTGTACAGTTCGGCAATTTCATTTTGGTATGTATCAATGTCTGCGTACACAAAATCCAAATCTGGCCCATCGCAGTTCGCATCCGTATCATGAGTGTCCTGCTCAAATGAATTATTTATCGATGAGAGCATCATTTTGTTGCTCCTTTTAATTCTTAGGAGTTACAAAAATAAAAAATAAAATTTTAAATCTATTTTTTCCTCCTTAATTTTATAAAAATATAAATGTCTGTGTAGATTTGAATGTGTGTCAAACTTTTCTACTCTGTTCTTATGTATTTTCTTATGGATGCACTGCACTTTTATGTGACCACTGCATCAATTTGCCAATAAAACCACTCAAACATTATTGCTTTTTATGTTTGCATCAGAAAGTTTTTATTTTATTATCAATTTACAAAAATAATTCTTTATTTTCTAGTATTTATTTCATTACAACTTCGATTTTTTTCTACTCATTATAGTTTCACAAAAGAAAATTTTGTATTCACGTAAAAAATCTGTCAATTCTATGACACTCCTGCATTCGAATATGTCAGTTTATGTTTCTTTGCAGACCGCTAGATGGCGCTATAATTCATAGAAAAACGTTAGAGATGCACAGATGTAAAAAGTACTATTTTCGTAAAATTGTTCCATTTAGGTAAAAACAGATAGCCTTCAGACCGAACGAAATTACGATTTTTGATCGAAATCTACTTAAAATTAAGCAATTTATAACATATTTAATTTTATTGAAATTAACTTAAAATCATAATGACAGGAACATGTCTTACAACAGGAACCGTTATGACTTTAATAAAAAAATAATTATTTGGCAGAAATAATTACACGGTGTGTGATCTCTCGGATGCATGTACCTGATACATTTGCCTTGCTAGAAAATATTCTTTCCGAAATTTATTTTCCTTCAGGTCCTTTTGCATTTTTTATCACATTTAGGTGGACTGACAAACGTTTTTATACATATGTAACAGAAGAAAGTACACACAAATAGCTTTCATTCGAGATATTGATAATCAAATTCTATCATATTGTTTGGCGGCACTGTATATTTATATGTATGTATATAGTCTAAAAAAGAACAGCTATTGTTTTTGAGATTTATTTATAAATATGGCAAAAATATAAAACTTGTTTTAACCCATATCATAATTGCGTTATTAAACTATACTATTCTGAATACTATATTAGATTTTATGCAAAAGAATTTCGCTGATTTTTAATAAAAGAAATTTATATTAAGTTGTATTAATTTTCGATTTTATATGTATAACAATTTTCTAAATCCCTATTTTTCCTCCAAAATCCTTCTTTTTATACACTCGGATCCCGCTTTATTCCATACGTTTAAAAAAATTAAAAACAGCTGAAAACTTAGCCGATTTTAAGACGGCATCTACATTTTTAGTTTCAGCAGACTTCATTTATGGTTGTCGGCGCATATTTTGGTGTGTTTATTCTGTGGCAAGGCGAATTCACATAAGGTGGTGGCAGTTCTGCGACAACAAAATGTTCGTCTATTTTGTTTTTGCATTAGGTTCACGTAGATTACGGAAACAGTATGTAAAAATTAATTAAATTAAAAATTTAAATATTTTATTAAAAAATAAAGATATTAAAGTTTGTGTAGAAAATATATCCTGAATTGAATAATGTTTGTTTCAAACGAAAAATTCTATTCCAGCAGATTAATTTGCAAAATTTAAGTGTGTGCCTGAAATTAAGTAAAACTTAATTTTTTATAAAAAATAAACATAAAAAGTACATATTCATGAAAAATTATATTGCGAATGAATGAATCTTTTTTGCGAATCGATAATTATATTCCGGCGGAGTAATTTCCGCCGGCAGGGTAAATACCTTATATGGGTTTTGTTATATAAAGCGTTCCGGTATAGCCTTTTTTAGTTAATCACTTTATCTACATAGTGTAAATATATAAGAATATTGTTTAGTTTGTTAACATTTAATAGATTTCTAAATTAAGCTATACCGTAGAAGTAAGCTGTCGATGGCATATGTGTTTCTTTATATAAAGTGTTCCGGTAGAGATTTTTATAGTTAATCACGTTATCTACACAGTGTTAATATAAAACAATATTATTTAATATGTTAACATTTAATAGAAAAAAACATTTTTCTTAAATAACATTTTTGTATACATATCAATTATGACATTATTTAAATAAAATGATATTTGTTTACGAGATGCTTGGTATTTTTAGATTTTTTAAATAAATAATTTAAAATACTAACCAAGTTAATGGAAATTTTTAAATATAAAAATGTAAGCAATAACAAACTTTGACAGCTTAAACCAGGCCAATTAAGAAAAAAATTATCAGCTTTTTATAAAGTGTTCCGGAAGAGATTTTTTTAGTTAATCACGTTATCTACACAATGTTAATATAAAATTTAAAACAATATTGTTTAATATGTTAACATTTAATAGAAAAAATATTTTTCCTAAATAACATATTTGTATACATACCAATTATGCCATTATTTAAATAAAATGATATTTGTTTACGAGATGCTTGGTATTTTTACATTTTTTACATAAATAATTAAAAATATTAACGAAGTTTTTCTCCGTTTAACGGAAATTTTTAAATATAAAAATGTAAACAATAACAAACTTTGACAGCTACATAAACCAGGTGAATTAAGAAGAAAATTATCAGCTGATTGAATAACACCACCTTATATGAATTCGCCTTGCAGTCACCTCTCTAATGATGCCATGAACACCACCAAGGCGAGTTCTGCAACAACAACATTTTATATGTATTTTGTTTTTGCATTTGGTTTACGTTGATGTCAAAAACCATAAGTACGGCGAATTCATTTGATGACAAATTTTTGTAAAAAGTTTATATTTTATTAAAAAATAAAGATATTAAAATTTGTGAGGAAAATATATTCTGAATTGAATAATGTTTGTTTCAAACGAAAAATTCTATTCCGGCAGATTAATTTTCAAAATTTAAGTGAGTGCCTAAAGTTAAGTAAAAAACTTAATTTTTTGTGAAAAATAAACATAAAAAAGTACATATTCATGAAAATATTATATTACGAATGAATGAATATTTGTTGCAAATGGATAATTGTAGCAGCCGCCGGACGTGTAAATACTTCATATGCGTTTCTTAATATTAAGTGTTCCGGAAGAGATTTTTTTAGTTAATCACGTTATCTACACAATTTTAATATAAAATATAAAACAATATTGTTAACATTTAATAGAAAAAATATTTTTCTTAAATAACATATTTGTATACATACCAATTATGCCATTATTTAAATAAAATTATGTTTGTTTACGAGATGCTTGGTATTTTCAGATTTTTTCATAAATAATTCAAAATATTAACGAAGTTTTTCTCCGTTTAACGGACATTTTTAAATATAAAAATGTAAACAATAACAAACATTGACAGCTACGTAAACCAGGCGAATTAAGTAAAAAATTATCAGCTGATTGAATAACACCACCTTATATGAATTCGCCTTGGAACACCACCTTATGTGAATTCGCCTTGTGCAAAAACAAAATACATATAAACAAAGTATATTAATAAAGTAGCGACATCTCTTGTTGTACAACAACATCTACAACAACCACATATATTTTGTTTTTGGAATAATTTAAGATTGTGTCAAAATAAAATTTCCTTGAACAACAATGTGAACAAAACATAAATAAAATATATTACTTTTAAGTTAAAAATATTAACAATTTAATTATATTATTATATATTATACAATTTATTACACTTTTAAACTACTTTAAAACCACTTTTAATTCACTTTTTCAACTTTTCACAAATTTTAACAAATAGCAAAACACAATTTAAAAATGGCGACGTAAACAATGTTAACAATTTTCAAACCAAACTTTGACAACTTGCTTCATTTATCTAGTTTAAAAAAAATAGTCAGCTGTTCAAGTGATGCTACTTTATTAATATACTTTGCATATAAAATGTTATTGTTGCAGAACTGCCACCATCTTATGCATGGCGAAACTAATAAGGTGAAGTCATTTCAACAGCTGATTGTTTTTTTGTCCATGGAAATTTAGCCCGAAGCTGTCAAACTCCATATAAAAAAATTCTCTCTCAAACCCGACGCTGTCAAACTACATATATAAAAAATTTCATGAATTCGCCGCAAAATGAAATGACTTCACCTTATAGTCTATTCGCCTTGCACCTTATGCGAATTCGCCTTGTATCTGTGGTTTATATATAAATCACTCATTGTTTTTCAAGTTTAATTGCCGGTCAGAAGTTTATTTTACCAAACAAAAGTGAGTAAAATTAATATATTTTTACATATTTTTCAGAAATTTTAAAAGTGAGTATACAAATTGAAATTATTTAAGTATGTGTACATAAATTAAAAAGTTCAGAAATATGATTATTGGAAATCTTTATAAGAATGAATTGCAAAATTTATCTAGAATGATTCAGGAGAATGGGACATAAAAAGTGATATCGATTTGAACTTTGCACCATCATACTTATTTTTTCATGCAATTTTCTTTTTGTAAATTTGTAGATAATTGAATTCTTTATGGTGAAATACTTTGTAAACAATGATTGGCAAATTATATTTTTAAATTGTAATAACGAGTATAATAATTTGTATGGTTTATGTCTACAGATAAATCTATAGTCGAGTGAAATGACCACCAAAACATTATTGCATTTTTTAATTGGAGCACTTGTCACTGGCTTGGGATCTTATTACTACTACTATAATCTGAAAGTAATTAAACTACATATTCTAAATTCTAATTATAATCACTTACTAACTTCACATTTATTATTGATTAGTGCATTTTTAATGATTTAAAATAATATACCTACATTGTTATGGGTAAAATGAATATATACAGTTAACTGCGCCTTAATTATTATAGTAGAGTTTTAAGATAAATGTTTAAATTCCAGTGATTTATTGATAAATTACTTTTACGAAATTGTCCACTTGTGCGTTGGCAAAACGAAAATCTTTGTCAGAATGGGTATTTAAGAAGAATGTTCGAGCATAATATACATACATATATAAAAATTCATATTGGGGACAAGTGTCTTCAAGTCACCAGTTTTGTCGTTTATTTTATTAACTTTTTGAAACTTTCTTGGTTAGTTTGTTGGTTTGTAATGTTTAAAATTTTGTAGCAGAATTTTCGATCAGTTCCCGTGGCCCGAATTGATTGAAATTTGGCACACATAAAGATACCTGATAACAATGCAATTGCAATGCATTATAATGTTATGTTCGATAAATCGAAATTAAATTCGAAAATTATTGAAGTATTTTATTGAACATTTTTTATATATTAGTATGTTGTTGATATATTAGTATATGTATTAGTATGTTGCATTTTTAAACTGAAATTAGTAATATATGTATATAGACATCTGATAACAATATAATGTTCGAATTTGAAAATATTTTGATTTGGTAGTCAGACACATTATTAATATATTTGATTATCGAATGTTAGTTCAAATGTCACTGATAAGGGATATCAAAATTGCAATAAATTGTATAATTCCAAGAACATGTATTAATTAAAGGAAAACAAAATCATATCTCATAATAAAACCCGTTAAAAGATAATGACATTCATAATATTTCAATAAACATATTTTCCAATATTAAAATTTGGATTAAAGCGTTTCTTTAAGGTTAATTAATTATACTATAATTTCATTAGCATATCGAGGGACTATGTATACTTAAAAGTCTTTATCTTAAATAACGCAAGTTTATGTTTTTTTTCTCTAGTTCGTAAATATTTTTAAATTATTTCTAATTATATGTATAAGGTTTTAATATATAAACATTATAAATGCAGTGGTGGAAAATATATAGACTTTATTTTGTGGTGAAAACTACATTTTCTCAAAAACTATCCGTTAGAATCTGATGAACAGCCGTCAGAACTCATATGGTCAACCAGGCGTTGAAAAAAACAAACGTTAACATAAAGAACCGAAGAAACAGTATATTATGATATTGGGAATATCTTTACAATTAAAATTTTTAAAATAAGTACAAAAACGTCTCCAGTGTAATACTATGAATCGTTTCTATTATTTTTTCCAGTGCTAAATATTTCAAATACCAATAAAATACGATGGAGCAAAAAAACTTGTAAACTCTATATATCACAAGAAATAAGATGCAAAACATAAAATTTTAACGCATAATTTTTGAGAGAAATTATTTTTTACCGCAAAATAAGGTCGTTTCTTTTATTATTTCCATCACAGCATTCAGACTTAGAACATAAACAGAATTTTTGAAATTTAATTATTAATTTGTTTAGAAATTTAAAATTTTGAAATTTTTTTGGTATTCGAAAATTTGGATACTATACAAATTTTATATATAGATAAGATCATGATGTAATAAGTAAGGTGAGAGCGTTTCGGCAACAAACACAATATTTTTTTTTGTTGCCTAGAGTTGGGTTTTGTCAAAATGAAATTTCTAAAACTGAAAAATAACAAACATTGGAAAGAAATATTTTTTGTGTATTTCTCAATATTAGCTATAAAACCTTCCTTATATTTAGCTTGTATCTGCAGCAGGACAATGTTTTAATGCTTCTTCATCAGAGTTTTCTTATTTGAGAACTTTTTATGAACATTTTAATTCATAAATTTAAATTTTAATTTTTTTTTGCTTTGAAAACACAAATATAATTTTTTTTAGAATAAAAATAAATTAATTTATTTTGACACAACCCAAGCACTTTTTTAATAAACAAATAAAAATCATCTGCCTTAACGATTTCACCTTACTTAGTGCATCCTGGATAAGATGTATTAATTTACAGGTGAAATCAATAAGGCAGCTTATTATTTTGTTTTATATTTTCTAACTGTCAAAGTTTATTTACCTTTTCATTTGTTTGTTTTAAATTATTTTCGTTAGAAACAAAAATTTTATAATGTGTGTTTTTTATAATCCGCCAACATTTTTATGCAAAAAATAGTAAAAAACTTTAAAACCGTCCATCCGGCTAATTACGGATGAAGTTGTTAGTACAAATACTATTCCGCAGGACTTTAAACCACAAGATGTCGAAGTGCTTTACGTGAACGCCTGCCATCCCGTATCATATACATTTAACACCTACTCATTTCCAACGTTTAGTTTCACAGTCTCTCCTCTGTGGTGTATCTGTTGTCTTCGGCAACAGCACCGAACTTATCACGAATCATAGAATTGACCATGCATCAGTCTTTTAACTGACATTCTGTTTCTGCGAATTTGGGTTTAAAACACAGCCACCACGGGCACCCTGAAAGTACCTCTCCAATAACCGGGTCCCAAACTCTGCCTTGCGGGCTACCGGTTCCCGTGGTAACAGATTGTGCGGTTCTCTGGTTCTACCTATATCAAATCATTCCAAGGAAAGGCCGAGGATACATTTGATCATCATCAATCCCGGCAGACTAGATGTTCTGGTAGCACTTCTTTTCCCCGGGATTGCAATAACACCAAGATGGGATCTTTCATCAAGGTAACATGCCCCCGAGGGATGCAAGTGCACAGACACAGTCACGATCTCAAAATCACCAAAAGTATTGGAATTTCGCTAAAATATTGTTTTTAAAATATGAAATGTAGATTGCGGAATTCATTGCGCAATCAACCGTATCAGTAGATTTCCTATCTTTTGCAAGACATATGCATTTCATAACAATTATATCTGCATTTTATAATTTTCCTTTTAATATAAGGAAAATAATATAAGGAAAAATTCAAATTGAATTGTTTTTTTTTAGTTTTATTTCTGACATTTAGAAAATATTTTTACAAAAACAAAATACATGTTGTTTTTGCTTAGTTGTATTTGTTGTAGAATTGGGACTACCTGTAAATGATTATACCATGATATATAGCTATACAGTTTTAATAGAAGTATATCGAGGGACTATATTCGATAGTCTCTATCTAAAATAAAACAAGTCGCGCTATTTCGTGAAGATTTTTAAATTTTTTCTTCTACAATATATATTTACGACCATAAAATTAAATCGTTTTATATCAGATAGAGCTTTTTTCTACGAACATTTTTTACAATCTTCAGATAGAGAGTTTTTCATAGAAATATACATTTTTTATTTGATTTAAAATCAATAAATATTTTATTTTATTCAATTTACTCCCATTTTCTTAATGTATAGTTTTTTTTTAACTTTAAAATATGTTGAAAAAGCAACAGATTATAGGACTTTGGTCCAAAACCTATGTTATATGGTTAAATACGGCAATAAAATTAATCAAATAAGTATCATAATAACTCGAAAACTATTAAACCAATTTGAAATATTTTGCCGGATTTGTGTTCAGCATGTCCAAATTAGTAAAAACACTTGTTTTGCATCAGAAAATTATCCAAAATAATAGACTTTGAAGCAATTTTTGGGTAAGATAGAGAGTTTTGCATTCGGAATTTTTATTTTTTTAGAGAAATTTAAAAATTGCTATAAAATTGCCAAAAATATTTTTTTTCTTCGATATTTATGTCACTGATGCGGGATAGTTTACTGGATATTTTGCCATCAAAATCTTATTTTCATGAAAATTACAGATAGAGACTTGTTTTGCTTTGAAGTCAAGTATAATTTAAACCCAATTTCTATGTATAAATTATATACAATATATTGTAAATATTAAAAAATGCGAACAGTTCTCCATAACTTCAAATGGACCATTTCCACCTATTATATTTTAATAGGGAAGCAATCAAATTACATGTTGTTAAAAATTTTCCCGCGCGGAATGTCTTGGTTTTTTCAATTTTCTTAAAAACCAAACAAATTAGCACCAATTATAGGGCAAATAAGTAGCTTAAATATGAAAATAATTCGACTTTTTCTACATATGGAAATGGCCATACATATTTTTAGTACAAATTGTTCTTTTTTATTCGGAGTTTCGATTACAAGTTATTCTTAGCCATACACTACAGTATTGAAATAAAAACATGTGCGTTAACAATGTCATTAAATTCAATTACCTTGGATTTATTTCCAGTTGCAATGTTTGCCAGTAATTTAATCAAATGCCTTAAGAATGCAGCTGTAACTAGTGGCAGAAATAATCTATATCATAATAATAAGTGTAATATGAGCCAAATGCTCGCCAAAGGGCGATCAAAACAATTACATGAACCGCAACAGCAACAAAAGCTAGGCAATTCCTTCACAACCTTGTGTCCTAAAACAGATTTAATAAATAGGACACGCATTTGCTTAGTACTCTTACCATTGACGAGCGTTAGTTGCACAGCTCATACTTCAACAACAACCAATGTAAAAGCAACAGCAATTACCGATGTGAGTAATTTAAAATGCACAGTGTTATGCGTATAAGTATTTCCCATGAGTTATTTGTTATTGTTGTAGATAATACATATAGTGCAACAACACACAATAATAAAAAGGTTTTTTTAAATTCTGACTAAAACATACATATATGATGTTAATTTAAAAACAAATTAATTTAGTTTAGTTTACAAAATGTTCCTTTAAATTTAGCAATTCTCCAAAAAAATGTTGATCTATTTAAATTGTTTGGTAAATTATCATATATGTACAACATATTTAATTTTCAATATAAATATTTTAAATATTAGATAACAAATATATGTAATTTATGAATATGGGCATTTCCACCGAAAAGTATATTTTTGTTACATCACGTCACGCACCTTAATTGACAATATCTTAGGACAATTGCTTTGGATTGGTCGCCTCTTTATCCTTTGCATAGAGCTATTAGAGCTTTACATAAAAATATAAAGAATTTAAAAATATATATTTTTTCCCCAGATATAGGCAGTTAATGGTACGTGACGTGATGTGTCAAAAGTAGAGTTTTCGGTGGAAATACCCATATCAACTCTTTTATATAGAGCTGTTAATCTATTAGTCTCATTTCACTGTGCATATGAACATTTAAATCTTAAGCTGTACTTTGAAAAAAATTTCACACTCAATTTGCTTCTATTCTATTTGTGCTAATATAATTATAACCACTGTTGCTAAAATATTAACAACAAAATTTATAAATATTTAATTAACAATATTCTTCTTTCTGTTGTTGTTTTAAAATTGTAGTTATTAACATTGCTTGATAATATATCTTATATATGAACATACAATTAACTTTCGAAAAGCAAAAACTATTGATTTGTCTATATAATATGTTTTTCTAAATATTAGACTGCCTCAGAAAACTCAGCAGAAACTATTGGTATACTATTTATATAATATAGGTAAATATTAGACCTCCTTCCTCCTTATCAGACCTGGCGTTTTACATTAGCATAAACAAAAAAATATTTTAGTGCAAATCATTGCACTATCACATTATTTTTATCAAAGTAATAAAGTCAAAAAATAAGTCATACTTTACAAAAAGTATCTTAATCACACATAAAAATGCAATTACACATTTTTCGCATTTATAAACCAAGAATTCCTTTAAATATAAACCTAGAATAGTAATGAGGAAAAAGATGTAAAAAAGTCACAAAAGCAAAAACAATGACATTTAAATAAGTGTATCTTTGGAAGAATGTGATTTATTTTTAACATCCAAGTATGGGATTTTTACTGCTTCTAAAGTATTCTACATTATTCAACATCTTTTTCCTCACTTTTTTGCTGGGTTCTTTTAGGTAAAATCAGTATTGTGCAATTAAGGGTTATTATATTCATGACTAACTGCATTACCACGTCTAACTACATACTAACAAAATTAATATATAACGTTACTATTGTACTTTCCAAACAGTAGCTAATACAAATAAAATATTTACTTTCAGTCTGAAATCATGTCTGAGGAAGCTAAAAACGCAAAGAGCATTTACGATTTTACCGTCAAGGATACCCATGGCGAGGATGTTTCTCTTGAAAAATACAAGGGTAATGTTGTACTTATCGTGAACATTGCTTCTCAATGTGGTTTAACCAAAAACAATTACAAAAAACTTACCGATTTGCGTGAGAAATATGGTGACAAAGGTTTGAAGATTTTAAATTTCCCTTGTAATCAATTTGGCTCACAAATGCCTGAAGCTGATGGCGAAGCTATGGTTTGTCATTTACGTGATGCTAAAGCTGACATTGGAGATGTTTTCCAAAAGGTAATTGACTACATCATATCATTATAATTACACGCATAAATATTCATATCAACTCTTATTATATTTCAGATTGATGTAAACGGTTCGAATGCCGCACCCTTATATCAATATTTGAAGGCCAAACAAACTGGCACTTTGGGCAGCGGTATTAAGTGGAATTTTACCAAATTTTTGGTAAACAAGGAAGGTATTCCTGTTAGCCGTTATGCTCCTACCACCGATCCCATGGACATTGCTAAAGATATTGAAAAGTTGCTTTAAAATAATCAATAAAATTTTTCAATGCATTTTAGCCTAAATGACAATGGCAACTTAAAATTATATTCGTTAAATTACTAAAGGACTAGGGGCAATTTAAAATTATTGTCATTAATTTATTCAAAGATTTCACTCTTACTTGTTATTTATGTATTACGTGTGTAGGTACTTTTCGGCTTTTTTATGCTTATGATCGAATCAGTTTTTATTCATTATAATTATATATGTTTTAATGCATATCAAATATGCAATTTATCTTTTGTAGACTTTTCATAATAAAGTTTGTTTTTTATTCCAAAAATATCGTAAAATATTTCAATTGTTTTTATTTTATGTACATACCTATTTCTATATTTTTGGTCAAAGTGAATTCCAACACACACAGTGGCTATAATGTAAGTAGTTCTAGTTCAACGAACAGTTGTACACAACCAAAGCAGCAACAATTTCAAGTTCATCTTATATGTAGTGGTAAAACATTTCTTAATAGAATAGTCGACCTTCCGGCAATTAAATGAAAAATGTTGTTTTTCCCATAAAAGATTTAATTTTTTTTATTCTGAACATACTTTTGTGAGTTCTGCCATGTTACTAAAATACGCGAAGAATTAAAAGTTTTTTTCCGATATGTTGGGACAAATAAATATTCTAATACTGTCATTATGTACATATTTTAAAAGGAAATGTTGAAAATAAATAGAAAGTCATAATTAAAAAAACAGCAAAAATAGAACTTAAAAGTAGGAGAATTTACTCTATGGAAGTACTGAAAAAGACATGTAGAAGTGATGATTTTAACACATAGGAGGGATGTTATTTTTATTTGATCCCAAATTCAATACTTCTGAAGTCATTCTGAAGAAGTAATTTATATGTTCTTTTCTTTTGAAGTTATTTGGAAGTGAAATTGTAGTAATATAGAATACAACTAATTTGACTTAAATAATATTAACATCAATAAGGGAAATAGACAAATCCCAGCAAAAAAGTGTGGAAAAAGATGTAGTATTTTCATCACAACTAGTAACCCGAAGTGCTTCAAATTCGGGTGTAAAACCTATGTATTTTACATTAGCGTGTCATTGGAGGGATGTTGTTCATTTTTGTTAACTTTGAACTACATCTAATCTTATTTTTAGAAGCAGTAAAAATCCGATATTTGGATGTCAAAAATAAAACATTCTCTTAATGACACGCTTATGTAGATTTCACTACTCTTTCACCAAATCTTAATATACTTCAAATATGTTATTTGTAATGACTTTTCCACATCTCTTTCTTCATTTTTAACTGGGTTTTCATTTGTAAGGAAATATTTGGTTTATAAAAGTGAAAAATATGTAATCGCATTTTAAGATGTGATTAAGATGTAGTTTGTAAAGTATGACATCAATTATTTTTTGCTGGGATTTTATACAAAATTCCAAAATTAAAAATTTTAACCCATACAAATTTAAGAACGAAAAAAATTTTCACTTTTCGGAGGTCATAAAACATAATTTCCACAGAAGGTAAAAAATACACTTGGTGCTACTCTTGAAGTGGTGATAAATGTTATTCTGTTGGAAGTGCTTCTTTTTATTTTTGCTGGGACTAGATGGGATGTTTTCTGTGGATTCATACAAGACCATAGCGTCCTAGTACACTCATGTGATCATCGGTCTTGAGCTGAACTGTATAAAATATCGGATATAAGATTTTTAGTGGCAGAACTGGTCTATATCCAGTGTAGCCAACGTAGTTCCAGATTTCACCACGGAATATCTCAGAACGTCCGGCATTCCTGTGATAGTCCTGAATGCACACCGATCAGAGATTAAATAGTATGTAGTTTGACTATCAGTGCAGATTTTTATATTCCTATTAGATACCTGCCCAGCAAAAAATAATTGATGTCATACTTTACAAACTACATCTTAATCACATCTTAAAATGCGATTACATATTTTTCACTTTTATAAACCAAATATTTCCTTACAAATGAAAACCCAGTTAAAAGTGAGGAAAGAGATGTGGAAAAGTCATTACAAATAACATATTTGAAGTACCTCAAGATTTGGTGAAAGAGTAGTGAAATTTACATAAGCGTGTCATTAAGAGAATGTGTTTTATTTTTGACATCCAAATATCGGATTTTTACTGCTTCTAAAAATAAGATTAGATGTAGTTCAAAGTTGCCAAAAATGAACAACATCCCTCCAATGACACGCTAATGTAAAATTCATAGGTTTTACACCCGAATTTGAAGCACTTCGGGTTACTAGTTGTGATGAAAATTCTACATCTTTTTCCACACTTTTTTTGCTGGGTGATAGTACCTATGCCAATTTATTGCCCTCTTTACAGCTAATATTTCAACTTGTAAAATAGTACAGTCATTATTAAAACTAAAAGAGATTTTAGTTCCAAATTTTCTCAATGAAGATATCTACATCAAATCCCTTATTTGACTTTGATTCAACAGTATAGACACGAAGACTCATCAACATCTATACGGGAAGATTCAGAATTATCCGAGATGATATGACGGTTTCGGAGCACAATAGTCTATAACGTAAAGGGGATTTGGAAGAAGATCTACAATCTTCGCATTACCCTTCGAACAGATGTTCTTCTTGCCAGTAATACTCAATCTGGCTGCTGTGCACATTACCACTTGTCCGGCATGAATATCAACAGCCAGCATATTAAGCATATCAAACAGTGTCTTGCTAGAAGTTGTTCTAAAAGCACCAGTTATGAGAAGAGCTGTTGATCTCATAACCTTCGTAAGATAATTCCTGTTCTAGCCAAGTGCATGAGTACTGCTTCAAATAGCCATTTGAAGTTCCTACGGTTAATTACCCAGTGAATAACAATAGGATAACATATAAAGTTGTCATGACTTTAATAGATCTAGATAGTATATTTAGACTTCAGGATACTTTCTATTAAGAATAACCCCCAATTTTTGAGCTATCTGGCAGCGATAGAGAAAGTGAGGATTGAGGAATTTTGTATTTGCCGGATAACAATACAAGTTCCGTCTTTCCAGGATTTACACTAAGACCACAGTTTATACTCCATTAGCTTATGATCTTAAGAGCTTTCTCCAACCTTTCAGATAAGGTCCTAAGGTGAATGTAATTTACAGCTTCTTCAACTTCGTCAGCGTATGCAACCGTTTTTCCATAGGAGGTAATTTATCCACAAACCCAACAGTAGATCTGCCCAACCCAATCTGAGAAAGGGAATGGCAGATTCTGGCTCTGCAGATAATGACATGGTCTCCAGCAATCCAAATTCCATTCATCTAAGGATTTAGGCAGAATTTTACGAAGACGACTCGTTCCTTAGGAGCTTTCTATAATATATACTACAAAGGTTTCTCCCTGATTTAGTTTCGATCTCCGTGCTTGATTTTTAAATTCACTGACTTTCAACTTATAAAGAGACCAGTTTCCTTACCTCTTTCCCTTGTTAAATAATCTATGAGTATTCGTGTAGGTTTACCCTTAATCACACCTTCCGATAGTTTGAAGCTTAGGGAACTAGCAATCACGTTTACATCTAACTCAATGTCTCTTCTCTTTTCTATAATAGGAACAGGAAGAAGAATGTTATTAAAGATTACTTTCCTTAATAGAATTTTGTAGCGAAAATAAAGCCTCTTATATAACGTGGACAGTTATAGCCTCTGATGGAAAGTCTACGAACTCTATCATGGTGCATCCACGGTTCAAGGAATAGCTCCTCACCTTTTTCAACCATACCATTTGGAAATTATTATTTCTTGATAAAAGCATTCTTTGTGTCAAAAATGGGCGATACGAGTAAAGTGGGCGTGGCACTCCCCATAAAAACTTATATATTTTATAAATTACATTTCAAGGGATCTTGAACCTATGTTGATCCTTTTTTGAGGTGAAGTCTTCATTTTCGCATGCATTAATGTGCTATAGTTTGCTCCTTCTTGCGTTTAGTCGTCGGCTGATTTTCAGGCAAAGAAGAGGACTCCTCCGTTTGCTGCCATTTAAAGGTCTCAGTAGCAGGTTTAGCCTGGCAGAAGTGGCTGGAGGATCTAAGTCCTTTTACATTGCCAGGTAAAAGGCTCTTGGATCTGTCAAGATTTCTCGTTCGTTGACAAGCATTGCAATGAGTTCGGCGGATTCTGCTAAGGATAAACTGGAAGAGCCCGACATCGAGTTCGACGACTATTCCAATGTGGGAGGAGGTGCGGCTGAGTAACATTAGGCTCAATGTGGATATTTGTATTTTTGAACTAATGCCAGTACAAGTTAAATGCCGTCCCATTGGGATCAAGCCGTCCAATATGGAACAGAGGCTTGATGTTACTCTGCTCATTGTCCTATATCAGTAACAAGAGATGCAATCGGTAGAGTAATGTTGACAGACCGACCAATGTTTGGAACAGATGTCTGCCAGGATGTTCTTAGTTTCGCGCTCGTTTGGCAAGAAGACAATCAGCTTGTCTCCGTCAGCATGGCTCATAGGATTCATTGCACTTAAGTTTTCGCCCTTGGGTTAACAGTGAAGAAAACCGCTAACATCGCCAGTACAAATTATTAATAAATAAAATCTATGTTTTATTTAAACTGAGCAAAATGTAATATTTATACTTATTTACGTATCACAGATACTGTGATTGAAGTACAAATCTCTCATAACTGTGATGTGTACGAATGTGTATTCAGATGGGATTTATTGATTTCTTAATTCCATGTATAACATAAGGAAATATTGATCATATGTATTATGCACAAAATAACACTTTCCCGTTGTAATAACTCGATCTTATGATCTCATTATAATACCCTGTCCACTAAGAACTGTAAATAATAAAATTATTCATTTCATTTTCTAAGTATGTAATAGATTAACATTTCAACTTTTTCTTAAAAAAAATTTAAAAAATGGAAAATTTAATAATGCACGCATATTTTAATTCATATTCGAGCTAATTAAATTGAACATAACTTGATTAATTCATTTATATACAAACTAGCCTCTATTTTAATTATGAATTATTTTAAATTTATCGCTTATGCTATTGTATATAAAACAGACAGTTTGTTTGTTTGTGTGTTTGTTTGTTACGATTTCACGGCAAAACTTCTGAACCGATTTACATGAAATTTGGACCACTAATAGGTCTAGCCCCAAAAGGAACAATAGGCTATATAAGATCTTGATCGGATGCCACGCCCCTTTTTACGCCCACTTTTTTTAAAACTATTATTACACCAATTTTCCAATCACAATATACAAAAACTACTAAACCGATTTACCTGAAATTTTGCATACCGATAGTTA